ACTACTGTATACCATTAGCTGTGTATGTGTGTGTGCGCGCGCGTGTTTGTGTGTGTGGGCGCGTGCATGTGTGTGTGTGCGCGTGCGTGTGCATGCGCGTGCATGTGTGTGTGCGCGAGCATGCATATGTGTGTGCGAGTGTGCATGTGTGTGCGAGCGTGCATGTGTGCGCGCGCGCACGTGCATGTGCGTGCTAGGCGTTTTCCTTTGTTGGTGACACCACCCCAGGCTACTACTGGTGTTGGGGCACGGTGTTGCCACAGCCACTGCGGCCAGTGCGATCCGTGTTTCAGGTCGTTGGTGGGTTTTAGATTCCGCAATTGTCGACAAGGTGTGCGCCGTGTGTGTGTGTGTGTGTGTGAAACCCGACAGCATTGGTGTGATGTTGTCCGAAGGGACATCCATCACTTACATCTTGAAGGATATTGGTTCGACACTGCACAGCAGCGAGGAGAGTGGCGCACAGCATTCAGAATTGCTTCACCACCACAGCCGGCCTCCCGTGATCGGATTCAGTGTAGTATTTGTAACATTTCCTTTTCGAAGAGCGGCCTGCCATGCCACAAGTGTACTCAAGAGCGTCGCAAACCTGTAGCAGACCAGTCTGGCAGCAGCCAATGCACTGTATGTCTTCGCTGGTTTCACAGTCATGGCAGACTGACATAGTCGGATTCGGCAGCTGGTTCATGTGTGTGTGTGCGCACGCACGCGCGTGCCCGGGAGACTGCATAGTCGCATTCGGCAGCTGGTTCATGTGTGTGTGCGGGCACACACGCGTGCGCATAAGCGTGTTTGTGCGCACGTGCCTGGGAGACTGCATAGTCGGATTCGGCAGCTGGTTCATGTGTGTGTGTGCGCACGCGCGCGCGTGTTTGTGTGGATTCGGCAGCTGGTTCATGTGTGTGTGTGCGAGCGTGCATGCCTGGGAGACTGTATAGTTGGATTCGGCAGCTGGTTCGTGTGTGTGCGCGTGCCTGGGAGACTGCATAGTCGGATTATTCAGCTGCTTCAAGTGTGTGTGTGTGTGTGTGTGTGCGCACGCGTGTGGGTGCGCCGCAGCATGCATGCATGTATGTATGTGACATCATGTTATATCGGTAGTTATCTGTGGATTACTATGTTCTGCGGTGGACTGCGACAGCACACATTATGTGCCAAGATGTGCACCTGGTGATTTGCAACTGTGTTATGTTGAGTTGAAAATGAGCAATGACAGATAGCTTTTGGTGCTGTATGAGTGTGTTAGGAAATCAATAGCCAATTCCAACCTCTTGCATTGGCCGTCAGGTTGGATAGGATCAGCGCGTGCATTTACAACAGTGGTGACGTACTTCCTATTGTACTACTGTAATGTCACATTAGCTTCAGTGTTCATATCATTATAATACTGGAGTATTCTACGTATTCACTACTATTCAGTAATCGAGTGGTTATTACTTTTGAAATATACTTCACTCACCAATTCATTGCTCGCTATTATCTACAAGTTCCAGTCCAGTATGATGAAGTAAAGAGGCGATTTATCCAGCCAAGTAGAGGAACTTGGGATACGAAATCCAAGAGAAATCATGAGGGTTTTCTCAGTTCGGCCATTCACGAATGTAATTGTTATTCTTCAACGCAAACTGAGTAATATTTGACCTTGAACAGGATGAAAAGAAGTTCATGCTCGGGGCAGTCGTCATTTGCTCCAGAAGGTTACTCACTACAGTCTACGCCTATTGGCCTAGGAAGTCGTGAACAAATATGTCGAGAGATATTTAGGACACTCTTGGAAGTCAGTTCTGAACGATTGCATTGTAACTACAAACAGTAGTGACTTTGCTGCATGCAGTTTGCATCCCGATTCATAATTCTCAGCGGCAAAAAAATTCGAATCTAGTTTTGTGCACTGGTTTCCGCGTTATGTGCACTAGTGGTATCTGCTCATGGCTTCAAAAAATGAGAATCCGTGAACAAGCGCAAAAATATCAAGCGAAGAAGGCGAAAATGGCCGCTGCTGTCAGTGAGCAAAGTTGGATGTTTGGCGTCTTCTGTGACCTCCCTGGATCAGTTTCGAACTGTCCAACAAGTGGAAATCGCTTCAGGATACCATCGTGAAGCGGTGTGCCGAAGGACGATTTGTCCCTCTCTGGGTGCAACGGTCGATGCTAAAACAGCCGATTCTGAGATTTGGCTCACGGACTATATGCGTCTATCGAAAGGAGCAGTCTACTGCAAATCCAGTCAATTACGCTCCTGTTGCACAGGCGCTGTGCAAGATTGACGGAGCAGCAGCAGTGAAGGTTAGTCAGAAATTCAACGTCGCGTAGAAACTACGTGCTGTTCAAAGAGCACATCGCGTTTGCAAAGATGGGAGCCTTAAGCCAACTCGAGTAGTGACAGTCACATGTTGTCGATCTTGGAGCTGGCAACAAGACTGAGTTAGAATGGGCAAGCAGGTGCCCACTTTGTCTTTTGTCGACTGCGTAAAAATGAATGTCTTTGATCTGCCGCTGAAAAACCAGCTCAAATCCGAAATGTGCAGAAACACTGCACGGTCATATCACAGTTGCTATGTTTGCTGAAAAACGCACAGCGATTTGAATCAGTGTTACACTACTTGAGATCTGTGTGATGATCATCCTTGATGTGACCAGCAATACCACAGTGTGAGGTAGCATGTACATGCATGTGTGCATTACGCAGTGGTGTCGTGTGTGAAATTGGTGAAGACAATAATAATTAAACAAAGTGCGTAGCCGCTCCAGCTCCTCATCCAACTTTGAAGGCGAACATAATCGACGAGCACGATCCACTAGATTACGAACGAGATTAATTTTGTCGACCTCGCAGCAAACGAGTCCCAAACAATGTACAAGCCGGTGAACGTTGGTTTCCGGTACACTGATGTAATTACACCACCCATACCAGACTTCTCTACAAGAACGTCCAAGAAGGACAATTTACTAGAGGATTCAAACTCACAAGTAAACTTCAGTGACAATAATAATAATTTTTTATTATGAGTACCAGACTTGTAAAAAAATCACAGTGTCCGGCCATGTCCGACCGGTTCCAGAAGTGGCAGGACATTGTGTCAGAGCAATTTCGAAATCTTATCGTGTCCCCTGCATAGTGTACACAATTCAGTTGAATCCACCCTATTTTTTTGCAGCCAAGGATACTGGCTCAGCCACTCCTTTCATTTGGAATTTTTGCAGTAAATCTTACTTACAGAAGTACCAGGTGGATATTCGAGATTCAGATCAGGCTATAAGCAGGCATCAAGCCTATGGCGCTTCTCACGAGAAATCAACGAGTCTGAACCAGCAGACTAGAAAATCTACAGCATTCTCCTTTGACCTTGGAACTACATGCACTAACCGGACGGCTTATTACAAATCTTTTTTCTGGAGGCAACATCTGGACTTGCAAACAAACTTGCTTCTTTTCCTCGAATGACAGGGAGCAGCAAGTTGGAGCAGAAACCGCGCAGTCACTTCACACCAGGGAGCAGTAAAACACCGGCAACGTTATTTACTACTCCTTTG